TATTTATTCTGCCTCTCTGCTGTGCTTCTGTGCCCAGTCTGCTTACCTCCTCACCCATCTGGAAGACACTTCAGATGCAGGCGCAGAACAAACAGAGCAGCATATTTTCAGAGCTTCCTTCGTAAGCTGGAGAAACTTCAGAAACATTGCCTTCCTTCCTTCATCACCATTATCCCAAGGGGAATTGATTCCAGTTCAACTCTTCGAGTGCTATAATAACTGCATGTGAGTGGTCTCCATTGCTGCCATCGTAAATGCTACCCAAGGTTCAGTTAGGCAATGTGAGTAATATGTATCACCTGCTGTTGGAAACCCATCAAAAAGGTGCCAATTCTACCAGATAGAGGAGAGGAGAGCTAAGTAAAGTAAAGCTAACTGTACTTTGTTGTGCATTAGCAGGTGCATGACAAACAGGTCCAGAGAGGTGATACTTCCCCTCTATGCAGCACTGGTGAGGCCGCAGCTGGAGTGCTGCGTCCAGTTGTGGGCGTCGCACTTCAAGACGGATGTGGACAACTTGGAGAGGGTCCAGAGGAGGCCACACCTGTGGTTGGGGGCCTGCAGGCAAAGCCCTATGAGGAGAGATTGAGGGACCTGGATCTCTTCAGCCTTTGCAAGAGAAGGCTGAGAAGTGATCTTGTGGCCGCCTACAAATTTATCAGCGGAGAGCAGCAAGGAATAGGAGATGCTCAGTTTACCAGGGCACTCCTTGCAGTAACCAGCAACAACGGCCACAAACTGATGGAGAGAAGATTTAGGTTGGACATCAGGAAGAACGTCTTTATGGTACAGGTTGCCAGAGTCTGGAATGGGCTCCCGAGGGAGGTGGTGCTCTCGCCTCCCTTGGGGGTCTTTAAGAAGAGACTGGACAAGCACCTGGCTGGGGTCGTCTGACCCCAGCGCTCTTTCCTGCCCAGGGCAGGGGGTCGGACTTGATGATCTGCTAAGGTCCCTTCCGACCCAAACATCTCTGTAGCTATGCAAGTGGCTTGTCCCTCTCTCCAAGACTGTCAAATACCCTGTTGTTCTCTCTGTATTGGGAATAAGGATAGGTGTGTGGCCTAGGCAGTACCACTTTGTGAGATGATCACTCTCCAAGCCCTGAGTTTTCCTCATAGGTTGGCATTACCTTCCACGTCCATGGGAAGGAGAGTGGTTTGCATGGTACCTGAAGGATCCACGCCGTCCCGGCTATAGAGGCACGGGGCCTCAATGCATGTATTGGCCTGCAGCAGATGCCCTGTTGATCTGTGAAACTTCCTTGAAGATTGTGGGATGCCTACAAGCCGCCTTAACATGTTTCCCATGATAATAGTTTGTAGCGTGACTTGGCTGGCAACTATAAGCCAAATAAATGCAAATATTATATTTTTAGAATATGGACAAGTCAGGCAAAGCCCCCTTTTGTCCCTTAAATGAGATATTCCTCGACCAGAGCAGGTAGCTTCAAGAAGGACCATTCTCATCAGCACTGGGCTTTTCCCTCCCCAAAAAGGCTGCGACACTTTGTTTCCATCTGCTCTGAGGGTTGCGCTCTCTTTAGCTCTCTTTTTAGCCTATTGAGTAACTTTGTTGTGATCCCCCCTCCCTCCCCACATTTTCCATTTATTTTTAAACAAATGAGGAAATGCAACATTGAGCTTGGACACAGACCAGCCAAATCAGTAAATTCAAAGCAAAGGGCACAGGTGTGTCTCTGGCATTGGCCGTGGGGGCCCTTCATTCATCGCTGCCCTCCAACAGCATGCATAGGCCTGGTGGTTTGTCAGCCTTCACTCTCTGTTCTTGCTGTTTTGATAGTTTGCACCGTAAAAAAAAAAAATTAATTAACATTTTAATTTTGCCCGTTGTGGTATGAGCACTTGCCCAAGTTTGGAAGGTCCTTAATGCTCGGTGGTGTTTTCCCTCGTAAACTTCCTGATGTGCGATTAGCCGAAAGTTTTACAGCGCAGCTCTCCTGTGGCACCAAGGGAGAAAAGCTGGCATTTAAGAGATAAATTACAGGCAGGTTTCTATCTTGCCCCAGCTCCAGCTTGACAGCCATTAGTTAGTGGTCTGTGTTATCGGAACCAGAAGCCTCTGTTCGTGACTGACAGTTTTATTCAGCGTGGAGACCCTGATTAATTGTCCGTGAAATCAAACTTTTGTGTTGCTGGAGCGTCTGTTCGAACACCTGCAGCGCACGGCACCGCTCGCCGCCTCCGAGGGATCAACTATGTGCGGAGCCCACGAGTGTCCGACACGGGCTCCACGCGATGAGGTCGAAGCAGCTATTATCTTCCCTAGTGATTGGAGACTTCTTTTTACACGCGCGTGTATGCCGCTCAACTCTGGGGGCTGGAAACCAAGGCTGGGAGATGAACAGCGGTGCCCGTGTCTGCCAGAAATGAGGCTGGGCCACGATGCAGTGAAGCATTTATAATATCAGGAAGCAAAACAAGATTTATTTTTTCCAAAAAGCTCTCCCTTTTGTGCTAGGTGTTTATCCCTCCTTTCTGAGTCTGGGTGCCACCAAAAGGCAAAATGAATGGGAGGAAGGGACAGATGTTATTGAGGCAAAAGCAATTGAGAGCAATATGGCTGCATACTTATTGCCAGCTGTGCTGCATCTCACAGTACATTAAACAGGAATTGACTGGGCCTGGCTAGGCCTGTGCCTGTTTTGGGGGGTGTGATTTAGCATTGCAAACACTGCTTCTCCAGTGGTTTCTGTGCATTAATGCATTGTTGATATATTGGCTTTGGCATGCAAATCCTTCCTCCTGAAGAGCCACGTGGGAAAAGTTGTGTACAGTATGCTGATGTCTTTCTCCCTAATACAAGAGCCAATCGCTTCTGCCCTAGGTGCCCTGCTACTCAATTCTCTCTCAGCTGATCTCATCTATAGCAAGCGTGTTTTGGTGGGGGGGAAAGGGAGACTTATACAGTGAATGACTTCATAAATACATACAGTGATGCTTAAGTGGCAAAGTTCATCATACCCTGCTGGGCACATGTAGGTGACATCAAGGTATCCCAGTCACGTAACGCCTTCCCAGCCAGGTGGGGGAAAGCTCAAGGGCTGGACTGTGCCTGGCACCTGCATGGCAGGGCTGTGCAAAGCTTTAGGCACTGATTTGATTTGGAGATTTCAGCCCGATTTGGCGGCCAAATCTCCAAATCCAAATCGAATCAGGAGACCAGTTAAAAGGCCCGAATTGATTCGAAGCTCTCCAAATGGATTCGGAAAAGATTCAAAGAGCTTCAGAGATTCAGGCAGTCCCTGCTCACTGCGGCAGGGAGCTAGACCCAGACTCCATGCTGGTAAGTGGGGGGGAGGGGACCATGGGGGGACCCCTACCAGGCCCCAGCTCTTTAAAAAAAAAGCCCCCACTCATGGGGTGTTGCCAGGTGGGGGGGCAATCCCTGCTGCCACCCACTGCCCCACATTGCATGGGGGGTTCTGCCACAAGCCCCCCCATGGCTGTCCTCAGGGCTTCTGGGGGCTTGTGCAGCATGGGACAGTGGGGGGCAGCGAGGATCGCCCCCCGCCTGGCACCAGCCGGTGAGTGGGGACTTTTTTTTAAAGAGCCGGGAGCTGGGGGGCAGGCAGGGCAGCCATGGGAGGCACTGGGACAGAGGGTGGGGGGCGCTCAGCGGGGCTGGGGGAGCAGGCAGGGGATGGGGCCTGGCAGGTCGTCCCATCCCGTCCCTCCCCCCCCCC